TGGGGGTTTTTCTGTGTAATAGGTATACCATAGGGGTTTTTTTGTTTTTAACCCAAAAGAAAAAACCTAAGGTTTTTTTTTAAAGAAAGTACTAGAATAGCTGTTCTTAATGCATCACCGATCAAATTCTAAGTAGATGCCTTGGCACATCTTTTTCTTTGTCTATGCAATGACGTAGAAGGTGTAGGATGGAGAAAAGCACGAGGGATTTAAGCAACCACACAGTTTATATTATATGCCAGCATCTTTTCTTTGGTGCCTTGAACTATTCTATACCCCTTAACTTACACTAATCTGTGATCACTTTCCACTATATCCGTGGTCAAACCGTGTCAACAGTTCACAGAATTGGATATTCATCAAAAGAAATTGATTTGAGCACTAAACTTTTTAAGTTTTAATATACACGGGCTGACGGGCAGTGACTAGTGAATGTGGTATATGGATGTATCTGTATTTAGATTTTAGACAGTGAGAATAAGTCAAAGAAAGCATGAACAAATGTATGCCCTTCTTTCTCTTCCACTAGAGGTTCATTCTGTTCATTATTGTGGAGGATGCGCAGCTCAACAACGCATTAAGCATCCAAAATGAAACTGTCTTGGGTCACCTTTTGAGTACAAATCATGCATGTATTCCATTTATGGGGCATCCATAAACCACTAATGGCGTTCTGTCTCAACTAAAATGTTGAATCAATCTTTCTCCAAAAGAAGACAAGAATCACTCGAGTTGTCATTTTTCATGTTGTATTATTATTAGCTCGAAAGAAGCTAACAAGAATTGAAAAAAAGAAAAAGGGAAATCCGAATAAGGAATATGTTCACTCCATATTCTTTCTTGTTAAGTTGGACATAGGCCCAATTTTTGCTCAAATCAGTCTAACCTGACACTTTGGCGTTGTGTTTGAATGGCATGCAACACTCTAGTCTAGTGATATTTAGTTTAAGCCTTGAAAATTTTGTTGAGTTTCTTGTTCCTCAACAAGCTAGATCTGATATTATTCTTATTCCACCAACGCCAGTTTGCCATGGCAAAACTTTCGCGTGCATGCATCAAAAGCACTCAAGAAGGCGCAAATGCTTGCAACCTGTGGATCGTGGGTGTACATAGATGATCACATAGTCCAAAAAATTGTAACAATGAAAGAAAAGTGATGCTTGGTAAGACTGAAATGTAACCTACTTAAAACATGAATTTGGTTTCTGTATATTTTTACCCTGATGCATTCATGAATGGTGGAATTTGTCCAGTATAAAGCATGTTAAGAAATTCTAAGTGGATGTCAGCGAATTAGTGACCAAAACAGGGTGTTGTATCATTCCATCAAAGATTTGGCCGTAACCTGGTTAGTGGAGGCTGGTGTGCAACTTCCCAGAATTTTATTTCTCACAGGACACGACTTTTAAAATGGATGTTGACGGATGAAGTAATCTAATCCACTAAAAGAAATATATAGTCGTAGTCTCCACACAGGGCCGCAGAAAAAATGCTAATAAAATATCGAACAGAAGAGAAACCATACCTTTGTTTCTGGGATCTTGTTGAATTTCAAGATATGGAATGAGCACAAGTCATGTTCTACTAAAACATTGCAAACCAGGGATTGTATTTAGAGTTTGAAATCACGTTATGAAACTCACGGGATATTCCACTGAAAAATTCACCAATATATCTACGTGTCAACATCTTCTTCAGTCTTCATGCGCAGTTCTCTAAGTACATTTAGAGGTATCAAATCGAGTGATTCGAGTAGATTTGGGTGAGTCATACATAGGTTCGGAGTATAATTGGATCAATCCATTTATATTTATTTAATATGTGAATCAATCCTTTTATAAACATTTAATCAATGTGCCAAAATGAGATAATCCGTTTATACCCATTTAACAAATGGGTATGGACATACTGCATAATCCATTTATGACCTGCTTGAAATTCTACTTGTTTTTCCCTTTGGGTATTGTTTAAAAAGAAATAATGATGCTTTATTATTATTGGATTGGTAAAAAATTCAAATTTATCCACTTAACATCTACTAAAAATTGAGTTTAAATGTGTGATTATTTTTAAATTTATTAAACGGGTAATGCAAGTCAGCCCATTACCCATCAATTAAATTTCATACATTTAAATCCATTCAAAGTTCATTATATACCCAAAGCTACTTATTAATGGATGGGTTTGAGCGGATCAAGTGTAATTGAGTTGTGGTTGTGACCTATAAATATGTTATATCTCTAATTCCTTTTGCTTGAGAGTCTAACTAGCAATTGCTAATATTCACTATTGGTAAAATTTCTTTTCTTTCCTCAAGGGATTAACTGAATCCTTCATATAGTCTAAGATTAATCGATCAATAATGAATACATACGAGTAGTCGGTAATTCGACTAGTATTATGTATACTATCGAAAGTTCAATTTCTATTTCTGAAATAGGGCTGCAAACGAGTCGAGTCGAGTCGAGTTTTGGCCTAATCGAATCGAGCCTTGACTTAATTTTATTGAACTCGAACTCGAGCTCGAGCTTGACGAGCTAACAATTTCAAGCTCGAGCTCGAGCTTGACTTGATTCGAGCTCGAAAAAAATAAAAAATAAATAAAATAATATTTTTTCTTAAATAAATAATAAAATATTAAGGATATATATATATGTAATTTTACTATTAAAATAAACAAAAATAAACAAATATATATACTTAAAATAAACAAATAAAAATATATATATACTTAAAATAAAAAATTAAAATTAAAAAATATATATATATACTCGAGCTCGCGAGCCGGCCGGCGAGCTAACGAGCTTAATATTTTGAGCTCGATTTCGACTCGAGCCAGCTCGAGCTCGATATTGATTGAGCTCGAGTCGAGCTTGACTCTGCTCGCGAGTGGTTCGATTCGTTTGCAGCCTTATTCTGAAGTACGAAATAGAAAAAAAAAAAAAAAAAAAAAACCTTTAATCCACAACACGAAAATACTGCCAAGAGTTGATATTTTACTTTTGAAGGCCTTTATATTAATTTTTAGGCGCAATTGATAATGTCATGATCTATGGAAATGTGATTTCAAAATTCTGCATGCATTAAATACTCTCATATATAATTGATCTAGGTGCCTCGGGTCTGGTCTAATTTCTAAAATTATATTAATGGAATCCCTTGAAATTATCGGGAAGAGCATTCGATGCTGATGAATTAAGCAAGGAAGAATGATGTTCGAAGAATATTAACAAAATTATTGCGTTGTGCAGTTCTGGAACATTCAAAGTTGGATTCTATATGTGATATAAATGAACCACTTTCAAAATTATTTTAAGGGTTAAATGCAAAAAACCCCCACAAACTATATGCTGAGTTGCAGTTTACCCCCTAAACTATAATAATAGGCATTTTGCCCCCTTGAATGATATGTTTGGACAAATCTACCCCTTTTATTTTAAGCATTGTTATTTTTCTTTTTTCCCTATCATTTTCTTTTTAAATTCTTCCTTTTTTTTCTTTAAACATTGTTTAAATAAGTAGACTAGATTAGTCAAAATTTGTTTATTTCTTAATTTCGTATGTCAATATTTTATAAAAAAAATAATCTATGGAATACAAGATTTTTTTTCCAAATGTTGAAGTCAATGTCATTTAAGAAATTGAACTTTTCAAATATATAATAACAAAATAGAGAAATTGATTAATCAATTATTAGTAGTATCAATGGCAAAAAAGATGAACTACTATTGTTGTTTATTCTTATTTTTTATTTCACTACAAATAACAATTGCTAACTTTTCTTTTTTATGTGATATATAATGTTACTTTTATTATAAGTAGTTGAGTAACTGTGAACTCTTAATTAGTTTATAGGTACTTAAATTGTTGAATTACTAGATTAATACACTTTACAATATAAGCTACATGTAATAACAAAGAGTTTATGACAAATTATTAAGAATGAATTTAACAAATAAACAAATTAAAAAGCAGTTTAAATAATATTAAAATTTTTGATGTAAGTCTTTTCACATCGGAGAGAGATGTTGGCTAGTTCCAAGAGAGAAGGAGAACAAAAAGAAAATAAAAGGAAAAAAATGAAAAAAGCTAATAGAGGGAAAAAAAAAGGATTTAAGATAGTAGGGGTAGTATTGTCCAAACATATCATTCAAGGGGGCAAAATGCCTATAATTATAGTTTATGGGGTAAACTGCAACTGGGTATATAGTTTGTGGGGTTTTTTGCATTTAACCCTTATTTTAATGCAGTCTGTATAAGATTCCATGAATACATTTCAGAAGGCTGGTTCTTTTACTTTTCAGAAAAGTACAAGTCTAGTACACAGATTATGAGGCTGCTTATTGAATAAGTGCACTAAGCACTTGCAAACATTGTGGAAAATCTATGTCACCCTATTGATCATGATTTACAGGAGCCCTGATGTATACTCCCTCTCTTTCCAAGAATGCACCAAATTATGCATTTATTGACTATGACGACAATTTTATAGATCCTACAACTTTAATATGCTGCCCGCCTTAAAGAAAAGTTTGATTCTGACTCTCCGGGTCCTGAATTTTACACCAAGGTTAACTTCGGTTTCCCGAGAGTGATTGAGTTGACATTTTAACTTTGTTATGCAAGGCATTTTATTTACCAAAAAAGAATCACCAAGGATAGATATATCATGCCTGAGATATTCAATCAATCAACCAAAGGAACAGAACTTGTTATTGATGTTCTCAAGCTACAGTGATCCGATATGCCATTAGCAAACAAATTGGAAGAGTATAGATCCTCCGTACGTAAGCAGTATCAGTAAGAGAGTAATCCAGCTTCTAAATTTTGTACACTTATGAGCTTTAGTGGCAAATAAGATAATTTAACTTTTTGACGTTTAACTAACTTGAAATGACTCTACGAAGGCACCAGGACGCTACTGTTCAAGTGGCCAATTCCACTCTCCTATATAAAAATCCTCACCATTTCCTTTGGTTCTCCATCTCTCTCACCAAACAGCTTCTAAGTCTAAAACCCTCAAAACTATATATCAATTTCTGGTACATTACCACACGTAAAAATGATAGACGGAGGTGATGTATACAAGGTGGTGACGGCCATGGCACCACTTTACGTAGCATTAGGTTTAGGCTACGGGTCCGTGAAGTGGTGGCACATGTTTAAACTTGATCAATGTGATGCCATAAACAGATTCAATTGTTACTTTATCATCCCATTTTTTACCTTCGAGTTCACAGCTCACGTTAATCCTTACACCATGAATCGTGGCTTCCTCATAGCAGATGTAATCGCGAAATTTATCGTTGGAATAGTTTTGGCCTTCTGGGTGAATTTAAGTAAAAAAGCAAGCTTCGATTGGTGTATCACCACCTTTTCTTTAGCCAGTTTGAACAACACTCTTGTTCTTGGTGCCCCATTGTTGAAAGCCATGTACGGAGACTTGGGAGAAAATCTTGTTGTTCAGTCATCCGTTCTTCAATCTCTTCTGTGGTTCATTGCTTTGCTTATTCTGTTGGAATGGAGACAGGCAAGGTCCGAAGCTGTTGATGCAAGGTCCATGAATGGAGATTCACATGCTGAAATCGAGATGGGAAGAGACTTGGAAGAAAGTTCCAGCGCACCAGCGGCGATCCAGTCACCTTCTTTTCTGTCCGTACTGAACACTGTTCGGACTAAACTTGCCAAAAATCCTAACTCTTATGCCTGCATTATCGGCCTCATCTGGGCTCTTGTTTCCAACAGGTATGCACATATGCACAATAAGATTTCGCAATATATGCGACATTTTGTTCGCTTCACATATTGTTGATGAATTTGAACTGTTCTTTAGGTGGCATATTAAGATGCCGGAAATAGTTGAAGGATCAATTTTGATCATGTCAAAAGCTGGGGCTGGTGTGGCTATGTTTACCATGGGTGAGAAACATTCTATTTATGTATAATCCTTGTTACCCTTGAAATGAAATCTTGAGATTATGCAGGAGAAAATCTCTCTAACTAAGTACTCGAACTTGTTATCTGGATGGATCTCCATGCAGGGCTTTTCATCGCATGGCAAGAAAAATTTATAGCTTGTGGTGTGGGTTTAACTTTTTATGGGATGGTTTTAAGGTTTGTAGTTGGACCAGCACTTACCGCTGCTGGCTCTTTTGCCATGGGTTTGCGTGGTGATGTGCTACGCATTGCAGTGATCCAGGTAAAATATTAGCCCTTGTTTGAATTGCTATGTTTTTTCATTATTATTTTTGTATGTATAATACATCAAATCGTTACAGTATTAGTTTTATAAAAACTTCAAAAAAATAGGCAATTCAAACAGGGATTTAGCTATGGAGTATGATTTCAGGCACGATCACTTATATTCCTTGCGAGATTACCAACTCCACCAACACCACCATCGTCAGATCTCAGAGCATCAAATTCTTGATTTGTCAAGTCCATTCTACTGAGGGGTTAATTGAAAGGATGGAGCAATTGCTCTTGGATGCCACGCAATCTCATAAATATAGAACAGGACAAATAATAGTTTTTTGTTTACATGAAAGCTAAATTGGAAAGAAAGATGCTTATTCATTCTCCACCCCTCCTTTTTCCCTTTTGGGGTCCAATTATAAATTGCTGTCACCTTTAATCTATTGTTATTCTTTAGTGGATACCTTTTGAAACTTCTGCACTATATTCCATGATTCCCTTGAAGATAATATAAGTATTGGGTCATCAGTTGTCCAACATGAAATTTTTGTCTTCTTTATGGCACAAAATAAAAAAAAGTAAAGCAAAGCGTAGGAGAAAGAATTTGAGAGCTTTAAAGAACAAGATTAATTTAGGTAATTCAACCTGTCAACCAACCTGTTTGAAGGAGTATGCCCTAAAATCAGGGATTTTTAGGTACTATGCACCTAATTAAACCTCTTCCATTGTATATGGTAGACATCCTCTTTTTTTTCCCTTTTTTTTTTGCATGTTGCTTTTATTAATCAAATGTATTAATGCTGCTTTCTTTTCATGCTTTTGATAGGCTGCATTGCCACAATCGATAACCTCATTTGTTTATGCCCAAGAATATGGATTGCATGCCAACCTACTTAGCACAGCGTAAGCTTTTCTCCAAAACTACTGAATTGTCTTACCATTTCTTCTATAATCGTGCCTGTTAATTAGATGGATTCAAAGTATTTCTTATGTGTTTTTTTTTTCAAGTTACCAATTGACAGAAGTTAGTTACTGTGTTTGGTTATTCAGGGTAATATTTGGAACAATTGTATCGCTTCCTTTGCTGATAGGATACTATGCGGTTCTGGATATCTTACGTTAACACCTCTTCCATGAAGGCCAATCAAAGATGCAGGGGAAAAGAATCCAAATAAAACCTTTTCTCGTGTGACGGCCTGAGTTCTGTTGCTGTTATATAATGTTGTCTATAGATATATATATATATATATATATATATATTTCTGAAGCATAAGAGAACAAAAATTTGCATATTCTATTAGCCCTGAGACTTAGCCAATTCGGGGTTTATTTGGACTCCTCCAATTTAGAAATCGTGTAGAATTGGAAATTCTTCCATTTTCTTGTGTCACTGAAATGTTGTTTACAATAATTAACCATTTGGCCTAGTGCTTTTAAGCATATGTTCAACTGTATCCAAACAGTTTGCGGGTATTCTTTATTGGGTTTTTCTGACGGGTATCCATTCGTTAACACACTTGTATTCCATCTAACCTATCATATATATATAAACACTAGCAATTACTACTTTTTTTGCATTTATACATTTTTTCTAATTAATTCTCTTGCATTTATACGTTTTTCCTAATTAGTCTTATATTTCTAAAATTCTAACACCTGAAATACATCTTAACGGACACCCATTAAACAGACCCTTCTTCAATTTTTGTTAATGCAAGAAGTCAGTTAAGTCCTAAGTATGCTAATAGCAAGATGAAGTAATCCTTTGAAGTTGCAATTAGTTTTTTTTTTTTTTCTATTTTGAGCTTACACAAAGAAAATAAAATAAAAAGAAAAATTCATGGCAACATAAAAGGACAGGTTCAATTTTGCCTCCTACTACAAATATTGAATTCGTAAAATAAACAACAGCTAACAGGAGTGAGCACAGCCGATTGACGTACACTTGTTCAACCAGTAGGACCTGCTTATTTTTTATCATTAATGGAAAGCGAGCTTGTATCAATGATCGAAGCAAGCTTTTCTAAAGTTGTTTGACATTTGTTTAATAAATTTTCTATCCCACTTATCAGTTACTATTCTCTTAGGAAGTTTTCTCCTATAGTTTCAGAGAATTTTCTATCCCACTTATCAGTTACATGCATGTTGAATTTTAATTAGAAAGTTTTACTCTCTTTTCTTCTTTTGTAAAAACCAAAAATTTGGATGATTTCGACTTTAGTCACCATCGTTGACAAAGCCCCAAAAAAGTTTTGTCCTTCAATTCCTAAGAAAATAATGCATCATTTGGTCATTTTACTTAACTTTACGGGTGAATTACAGATAACCTCCTTATACTTTTGCATAATTCCATATCAATATCCTTCTAAAGTTTCAAAATATCTACATAATTCCTTTGTAATTGCGTGTAAAGTGGAATTTGATGACAAATAACCTCCGTGACACGTTAATTGATAGGGATGGCAAAGAGGCGGGATTGGGGCAGGGAAGAGGCCCCCGCCCCCCATCTCGCTGCCCATTAATTCCCCCTGCTCCCGCCCTACCTCCCGTCCCCTGTTTCCCCGCCCCGCCTTGCTTCTTCACGGGATTAATAAAAATTTGTTATATAATTTTATTATAGTTAAATTTTAACAAATAATCAAGTACTAAAATATCAATACATTACAAAGTTATTATCCATTGTAATTTCACAATTGAAACTTATAAAAACAATCAAATAAAAGTTATTTGAATATAATCCAACATGACAAAACCAATACAACTAAAGTAGTTAAGTTTTTACTTTTGATACAAACACAATCACTAAATCATTATTTTTTTTTGAGAAAAAAGTGTTATTGTGTCGAGTGTACTTAGGAATTTAGTATAAATGTATTAGTAAATTTATTATAACTAATTAATAATTTATATTAGTAGACATGTATAATTATTAGTATAATTGATAATATCAATTATATTATATATACTAATATAAAATATATAATACATATAACTAATAATATTATTATTATAAGTTTGTAACTAATTAAGTTAAATATTATATACATATATATATTTATTAATTTTTTTAAACGGATGGCGGGGCGGGAATGGGGCGAGGGTATACTCCCCCACCCCAACCCCAGCCCCATTAGCCCCAATTGCCATCCCTATTAATTGAAGTGGATGTTTATGCAAAAATCATAAGGGAGTTAAGTGAATATTATAATATTATCACAGGCACTTTTGGAGTGCATCTCAATCAATCCTAGTAAGCAAAGATGCTTTCCATTTATTTTCCATCCTACATGAAATTATAGGGGTTACATGGATATTTTCAAACTTTAGAGGGGTCATGTAGTATAATGCAAAAAATACGGGGAGATCATGAACAATTTACCCTAACTTTGATGTGTCCAATATTGATCTTCCATTTCCTATATTACACATTTCATTAGTGCGCAATTGTATGTCGCACAAGAAGACTCAAATGCATTGCATACAGCTACTATCAATCCAGGAAAAAAAGGCAGTACATGAACATATCCACCATGCGCCCTGGAACGGCAGACCGAGTCCTACAAAACGGGACAAAAACTAATTCAATATATATATATATATTTTCACTGGTTTTAACGTAATGATTTCATCCTTGCATTTCGATTTTCGTGGTGTTGACATAGAAGAAGAAATACACACCTTCAAAGAGATATTGACAACTGACCAAGAAGAGCATGAGCTGAAAGCAAATAAATTGACCTATAAGCACTAGCTCAGTTCTAAGCAGTTCGAACCATGCAAAGTGAACAAATCAGATCAGAAACCAAAAGCAATTGGCCGTTTAATTGTGCTAACCGCATGATTAATGCAGAATCAACTATCCACAAAAGTGCAATAAAGTTTTTACTGCTGGCATGGGCTTCTGAACCGAATCATATGATTGGTGTAAAAAACAACCAATTTTACTTAAAGGGATCCTATATAGTGTTGTATGTGGAATACGTTGCTGCTAACGCTGTGATATCAATAGGAATTAGTTTCCATAGAGCTAGAAATTCAAGCGAATCCACTTTTCTATGAAGAAACAGAAGCAATGGTGCTTGTATAAGGTGGTATTTCTTGGTAGTATTTGTGGTCATTAGCAGGACAAAAAATATGTCAAGAATCTCTCTTGAAGTTATGCCGTGTTAGCGAAACAAGCATGGCGCTTGCTTGTTGATCCCCCACTCCCTATTGCACAAGATCCTTCATGCTAAATATTTTTCAGATTCTGATTTTCTTCATGCACAGTTGAGCAGCAGACCCTCATTTACCTGGCGCAGCATTCTTGAAGGCAGGAAAGTCCTCAAACAGTGTGGGCACGGGTGAATCGATTTGTATATGGAGAGATCCATTGTTACCAAAACGAAAACTTTCTATGTCTGTTCTCCACCTTCTGTCCATCATCGGAATGCCAAGGTTAGTGGCTTAATTGATGATTCCCACAACTGGAATTCCCTCTTGGTTGATAGCTTATTTTGGAAAGAAGAAGCTGAGATTATTAAATATTAAGCGCATCCCTTTATCCCGAACTGGTGGCAAGGACCGTAAGTTTTGGCACTACTCAAAAAGTGGCCGTTTCACTTTTTCTAGTTCAGTAGTGATCTTCATAGTGGCTTTAGTAGGGGTAAAGACAAAGTCTGGAAAAAACTTGGGGGCCTCAACATTCCCGGAAAAGTGAAGCATTTTTTATGGAGACTTTGCTACAACTCTCTGCCACACCCGAAAATCTCCAACGGCGAGACTTAGAAGTTGACTACACCTGTCCCAAATGTTCCGCACCCAGGAGAATCTTCTCCACATACTTTTTCAATGTCCTTCATCTATTCAAATTTGGTTACTGTCTTTTCACCCTAACAGCGTATTTATTAGATACCAGACTCCTAGTGCTTCTCTTTGGGTCAAAGAATTGATTTGATCATGGTGAGATATGCAACTTTTCCTACATATTTTGCTAAATTATTTTGATATCAAACATAATCTAGCAAAATATGTAGGAAAAGTTGCATATCTCAACACTCCTCCTTACCACTTTTGCTGCAGAATTTCTTACAAAAGTCTCGTCAAAAACAAGATTCAAAGATTTGAGAAGACAATTCAAAATCTGCAGCAAAAGTGGCAAGGAGGAGTGTTGAGATATGCAACTTTTCCTACATATTTTGCTAGATTATGTTTGATATCAAAATAATTTAGTTATTAGAAAAATAAGGATATTTGTTAACAAAAGATCATGTTGGTTTGTTAACAGATATTTTAGATAAGATTTGCTAGTAGAAGGAGATTATATTTTGTTGAGATTTCTAGGATAATTGTTAGTTGGATATTTTGCTAGTTTGTTTCATGTAATCACTATAAATAGTGAGTTGATGAATGTAGAACATAAGCTCATTTTCTACCTTCAATACAAGTCTCTTATAAGCTTTTTTTGCAACACTAAGGTGTTGTTTCTTAGTTTATGCCCCAAAAAACCAACAAAGTGGTATCAAGAGCCTATATCTTAAGGGCCTGAGTTTTTTTTAGAGTGAGTGCATTGGTGAGAATCCTTTATAAGTTCAAAGCCATGACAGGAAAGAACTTTTTGTCAAATATTTCAACTTTTAGTGGTGAAACTTACCAAATTTGGGCCATAAAATTTTGGATTTATTTGGTAGTCAATGATCTACGGGATATGGTGGAGACGAATTTTGTTTTATCAGCATTTGAAGAGCTGATGGACACACAAATTAGAGACCACAGAGTTGCAGTCAGACAGATATCCAAGGCCAGCATTCACATATCAGTTTTTGATGCCGTTTTCA